TGCCTTTATGTAGGTCCCAGTGCGTGTATGTGGGCGCGTCGGCACATGAATGGTTGCTACGCTGACTAGGCGGTGCAGACAATCGATGTCCGATGGGCCAGCTTAATGCGACGTGTTTGTGCGTATGAGAAAAAAGACAAGCCTCGCGATCCAGTGAGCGACCGTGAATTGAACAATCAAGTATGTGGGTGACTGGGTCGCTACAACCTTACCCAAAATAAAAAGGCTTCTCTCTGTAATTTTCAAAATTGTTTCACAAGGCTTTATCTGATATCGGTAGGAGTAAGAAGAATTTCTGTCACGAAGAGACTGAACCTCAAGGTGTTTTGGAAGTCTGTGTATCTCGGTGACCTACTGAGCTGCACTGGGGTGATGTGTCCACGCGACACTCGCAAGGTCTCCCACACTGGGTTGGTCAGTTGCTAGACATTTGACGAACGCGGTCTCCTGGCGCTTCAGGTTGCGGATCGGGACATGTATGGCGACTCACTCTGTAAAAAATTGGAATGCATTTGTATTCCTAGCTAAACATCGCCGCCTTGCGGTCAAGTGCCTAATCCAACTGCTTTGGTTGAGGACCCTAATGGCCCTGCTGTCTACGTGTGGGCTCCCTGGCAGTATCCCAGCCCACATAGAGGAATGAATTTTACAAAAACAAATAAATTCATGCCACATCGATCGTCGTCTGGTACCATCAGCCGGGTCAGCTTGCTGGCTGCGTAAGCAGAGCGGGAAAACAACAATAAGCCACTCCTGACGACCCTCTTCTTTATCTTCTACATACTTTTTCCTCTTCTCTCCACACCCTATTATTAACTCTCTCCTTGTAAGCTCAGTAGTTAGAACTGCTTACTCCATCCGTTCTGCATCGATGTTGCAAGTAACATCTGCGCGCTATCCGGCGCCGACATCCTCTGGCATTTCGAAATCAATCTTCAAGCCTCGACGCTCAGCCTGTCTTGGTGTCTTCAATGTCCGCACTCTGAAGCAAGTGGGACAACAAGCTGCTCTTGTCCTCACACCGGACTCGCGCGGTATTGACGTATGCTGTGTATCAGAAACAAGAATCCAAGATGCAGGCACTGTGTTTGAAACAACGGCCTCATCACTCTCCACTCCCTTGAAGCTGTACCCCTCTGACGATCCAGAGGCTGCTGCGGCAAGATGTTCAAAGGATGGCATCTATCCTTGCTTGTCGGGATACCCGTTGACAGTCACCTCTGTGCGGTTAGTCTGGCAACGTCGGTGAAGGAGTATCAAAAATTGAAATTTGATCGCTCTCTTGTGTCTGCATTCGCTCCAACCGACTGCAGTTCTGATACTGTCAAAGATGAACTTTATGACGTCCTCAAGGCCCTGTTGCGGCAGGCTAGAAGCTCAGATATCGTTGCGGTTGCCGGAGATCTAAATGCGCAAGTGGACAGGCTTAGCGCACCTGTGACTCATTTGGGTGGTCGACATGGATCGTACGCGGTACGTACAGACAATGATGGACGACTGATTCAGCTGTGGACTGACCGCAGGCTGTTTTATGAGGTACTAACTTCCGAAATAGCCGAAGTTGTCTGGCCACAGGTGTCTTCCAAAGACGTATCAGCTACGAACTCAAATTGGCCAGATTGTCAGAAGTTACTGATGGTGCGGATCAATAAGTGACTGCTGCTCGTCTTGGAACACATTTGTGGATTCCGACCACGCGCTTCTCCCTGTCACGTCGACCGTGATTTCTGGTAGACTCGCAAATCTAAAGAAATCGAAGAGGCCGAGAAAGCCTGGAATGCTCGGAGTTTATTTTAGTTGATCCATGCGACAGGTTCGCTAAAACCACCTGTGAGAAAAATCACTAAGGACCAGAATAGAGTGACCATAAAGAATATAAAGGAATACCTAGATCGTTGGGCCAAATACTTTGGACAACAATTGTTGTGGCCCACAGCGGCCACTAATCTGGAGCCCACAGTTGACGTAGAACCCTGGACGGTAAACGTGGAACCACTTAGGGTCTCGAAGATTCGCGACAGCATATATTCTCTCAAGCGGCGCTGATTTTCTAGTCTGGATGTCCTCCCACCCACATTGTTCAGAGATGAGTGTCAAGTCCTCAGCCGGCGCTTGTCTGATCTGTTTGATCTGTCCGAGACAACTGGGAAGAGCCGGTTATAGTGCCCGTTTTCCAAAAACGGGGACTTTTGTTAGTGTGGCAACCACAGAGGGATAAGCTTGAACTGGCCATCGGCGTCATTTGTTGTTCGTCGGCTAATGGTGGCTCGTGAAACACTGACTTTAGAGCAGGAAGCGAACGTCCAGTCTGGTAGGGTTGTGTTGACCAAATCTTCACACTCTGCCAGGTGCCGGAACAACATCAAGCGTACAAACGACCCGCAATTTTAGTAGTTCTGGATTTCCAAGATGCATATGACTTCGCTGACTGGTCTGTTTTTTTTAACGCAATTGCTCAGCAACAGCTGACCCGGAAGTTCGTGAAAATAATAAGCTTTCTGCATTCTCGCTTCTGGGCGTGTGAGAATATATAGAGAGCTCTCCTGAAGCTTCCGTACACAAAGCGGTGTCCGTCAAGATTGCGCACACCCTCCAGTCACATATAATTTCATGATCAGTGAGATACTGAGACGAACGTTGGAAGACCATCAACAGCTTCTGACAAAAACCCTGTCGATCTGGAATATGCAGGCGACATCGTTCTCATGTTGGAAAGGAGGAGAAGGCGCAAGTATTCTTGGATGAAATGACCAAAGTCATCCTGTCTTTTGGTATGCAGTTTGCACCTGGACATGCAGTCACTGAACACGACACTTGCAATCCGGGGAGGGGAACTCGAAGTTGTGGAGCGCTTTACGTATCTTGGTAGTTGTATTAGCCCAGAGTGTAGTGTGGTAGATGAAGTCAATGCACGAGTCTGCAAGGCTTTGGTCGCCTCTGCTAATTTGAGACACCTATGGCAGCAAAGCGATATATCGTTCATCTATAGGACTCTTTTCCGTGCCCACCTGCCACCAGAAGGAAGCGTGAGGGCTGGGATACTGCCAGGTTGCCCAAGCCTAGACAGAGGGAATCGAGAGGAAGAGGTAGGTTCGAAACATGGAACTTCCAGCCAGTAAATTCGCGCTCTAACCACCGGGCCATCTCGCCCAGCAAAGTGGTATATCTCTGAATCTCCAGGGCCACATCACGGGCTGTTTTGTTGTATGACTGAGAATTGGCCTGTTTGATCAGCGGAACTTAGATGTCTTCAGGTGTTTGACAACCGTTGTCTCAGAACCATAGCTCGTATGGTTTGGTGTCGGCAAATCAATAACAAAGTGAGTTTTCGATTGTGCAACCGCACATAATTCCTTCTCTCTCCATCTGTATTCTTTTCTTCATAATAAGGCTTTCAGCTAAATCATGGTTGTACAGTAGCGAACCATAAATGTTGAACACCCATGCCGTGTTGTCCATAATGATGATAATGATGGTGATGAATTTTCACCTGATTTATGGGTACTAAGATGAGCCATATTTAGTAGCCTGAAATATATGCCCAGACGAATACATTCTAAACGTACACATTCACCTGACCTGACATATTTGTTTGTGTTATTTTTTCACCACAAATCACAAGACATATTCCTAAGTTTTTGGCGGCTTTGTCACTGACAAAAGGCAAGTGATATTAATCTAGAGAATTTCTTATGACTTTCGGTGCACCCCTTTGCTTTAACCACGTGATTCAGTGACTCAACGACGTTGTATTCATTCCTATGACATAGCACCTTGCTCACATACTCAGAGGCCCGCCCAAGAAACTTTGTAACATAGCAATCTACCATGAATACCTGGATGTGATTAGTGCTAGAGTGCTGATATGCTGGTCAATCAATATACCTTATCTAGTATAATTGACCGCGCCTATTTTTCTGTGTTTATGCTCGTATGGGAGCTTTTGATTCAGAACTTGTAAACTGCAGCAAAATGGTACCGTTTCCTGCTGGCATTTTGAAAATCGGGCAAGTTGATTATCCAGGTTCGGTATCGACGGAACATATCAGCAGATATTACATAGTAAGCGAACTGAAAGTAGGTATGTAAGTGAAAATCAATTTCAATTTTTTTGGCATCTGCATGATTGGAATATCCCTCAGTATACTGTTGAAGTACTTTCAGTAGAGCAGTGCAACCTGAGTCGTTTGAAGTGAGTAGGCTCACCTGACCCTGCTCTATTGACCTTAGCCGTAAACACTCAGAGATTTTCAGTCTGCCGTGGGCTGATTATTCAGTTGGCACTCTCTCCTGGTTCCTTCTAGTGCACATACTCAGTTTTTTTTACCCCACCTTGAACACTTATCATTTTTCAAGCATCACTGGTTTGTGGTCACTCTCCAGTGCATAACCAGTTCCCTCACGACACCTCCTCCTAGGATGACCAATGAAAATGTAATCAGACCGTTGTGATAAACTGCATTGGTGACTTGAGTGGTGCACCAACCCACCTGCCTTAGCATTACAATCTGTATCAGGCAACACCTTCATGTAAAACAGTACATAAACGCACCATTGGGTTCTATACACTGTCATTGCGAAATTGTGACCCCTTTAGTGTCATAAACACGACTAGCTTGAACGGGTAATCACTTTATTCACGTCTAGGCTCGAGGCCACCTCACTGATGGTCGAAGACACAGTTATAAACCAATTTTGAGTATAATGCAACGTAATGCATGAAAGAGACCTCCAATACATTTCCAGACAATGCAGAGCATGGATTTTCATGAGCGACCAGACAGTGAACGTGTCATCGATTTTTCATAAGTGGGGAAACGCCCAAGTAAAACGTGATTACCATAACAACAGTAAGACGGGAACAGACCTAATAGTACAGTGTTAGAAAACATGCCTGCAAAAGTCAATTGTGTCCGATGACGACACTATGACTTGATAAGCGTTACCTCACCATTGGGGAGTTTTACGAAGAAGGGCATGTGAACACCTGCCTCAAGTGAAACGCGGTCAAATGACCCAATCCCAAGTCACTGTCAAGAACTGAACCCTGCTACCTTGTATGTCACACCTGAATGAGTGAAGCCTGGAGAAGTATACTCGAACAAAATCCGATTGCTACTGAAGACACTGCTAAGTGCGAAAATCCCCGAGGACATGTCACTACGCAGTCACCCCAAACCGTAGGCGACTATAGGATGTCCTTCACGAGAGAACCAGTCGCTTCGATGGCCAGTATACAACTGAATGCATGCTTACAATCCTGAATGCCCAGTGTCTGATGCACGTCATCCGTTGAGATGTTATAATAGTTATACACAATAGCTCAGTGTAACACTATACGGAACATGCTCGACTACACCACTAACTTTACCTGTCTCTCGGATATCAGTCCATCTGAATCAGAGGTCAACTATATCCAGGTGTCCTCGGTGGGTGTGCAATACCGGTTTTATCAGGATGAACCTGTTGACTGCTATGACCTCCATTAAGTATGCCTGAACATCAGCACTCGGGTACACCAACCACGGTGTTCGATTTCGCCCGATTGGTCGTAGCCAACACAATTCCAACACCCATGGGTGTATCTGCTCACCTTGTAGTCGAATGGCAGATGGGCAACACATGAGCTGGACTACATAGAAATCTGAGCCCATTTGGTGTTTTTTACCAGGAGCGGTCGGGTTATTGAAAATGGAATTGTCCATCGAACTCTTATCTGAAAACCCTACTTGTTGTAGAAAATACCTGGCCTTCAGGAGGAAAAAGCTGTTCCACCCGAGCTTCCGGAAATATATCAGTTATCTTCAGAAATGAAACTAGTTCCAATCCATGAGGAACAAACGGCGCTTCTCTAGCGTAATTGGGCATTATCTCCGAAAAGGGAAGATTTAAGAGGCAAAGACTGGCTTTTCAAGCCGATTTTTCAACCGTATACTAATAAAATGGAAGCTCGTCTGAACACGGTGATGGACATTCGTACATTAAGACCTCATGCAACTCGATGTGATGGAAAATATCGTAACTGAAACTGAAAAAAAACGGAGAAAGCTGATAAGACCCACAATTTTAGGCAGTTTCCTACACAGGTCACTTTGCTTCAGGCAACTGCCTGTGGCCGTCTTAAACGACATGTTGCAAAATTAGCTGGAACGTGTGAGGAATATTAGCTTATAATCCAGCCGGCCATGAATTCGTGTCGTATCAGGCACCATCCTTAGACACCTCTTGACAGTCCAATTAATCTAAGTTTGAAGAGCACAGTTTTGGCTAAAAAACTTGGCTGTGTTCTTTCATTTCCAAAAAAAACGGGTATTTTCATCAAGCGGACAGAAGCGAATGACTTGTATCTGTGTTGGGTCAGATCTACGGTATACCAGTGTATTTTATTTTTTTCTTCAATACCTCAAGTACTCGAAGTCGTTTTGAAACCGAATACATAGGCTCGAGTCCTGGAAGAGTGAAACAGCGATAATTGTTCAACAGAATAAATTCTAAACGCTGCTCGGTTCTTATGGAGTCAGCACTAGCAAGATAAGTCGAACAGATCTCAAAAGAGAGCTCAGTTACTCATCATGGTCTACTCTGGGACTTTACATACAAAACTACCGTACGCCCGGCCAATCCCTTGTGTCCCACCTTTTGGGTTGATGGTACTGCTCCACAAGTAATCTGCCAAATGAAGGTTCCCAAGGAGGATATTACTAGGGGGGACAAAGACTGAAACCACTTCCTTACCAGAAAAGCTAGTAGTGTTCTTTCATCAGGACCACCATTTAATTACGTTACTTTACAGAACCCAGTATTATTTCAGTTTCACCGTCACCATGATTTATAAAGAAATAAACTTTAATTTTTCAGGCGGTGGAATGCCCAGCTGTCCAAGCTACGAGAGTACAATGAACGAAGCAACAGGAGCCAATCAATTCACAGCCAGCACATTCAGCGACAAGGATGTGCGCAGAAAATTTATCCAGAAGGTTGGGTTCAATTAGACTATCATGTATATTATACAACTTTTACAGGTGTATGTTATCCTTGCAATACAGCTAACCGTGACCACTGCGATTGTGTGCATCTTCACCTTTGTGTAAGTCAATCGCCTTGCTTCACGAGACGCATGCATTTCAGACCAGAAGTAAGATATGCCATCCAGAGAAATCCGTGGGCCTATTATGTCGCTTAGTAGGTATACCGTTTTCGCTCAACTAAATATTGCCTTCTTGTTGTACAGTGCCGTCTTCCTGGTTACATACATTATATTATCGTGTTGCGTGGGATGCCGAAGACGTTCGCCTGGGAATTATCTATGTCTAGCTGTATTTGTGAGTTTCTGATATCAGTGATCTGTTATCATTTTTATCGGCGTATCTAACTTAATGGCTTTTAGAACCACCAAGTCTGTCGAGCAAGCACTGATTTAACTTGATAAGATTGTGTTAGCGACCAAATTTTAACCAAGCGTGTTGTGTTTTGGATACATAACAATGCGAAGTGATATGGTACCATTCAAGCACGATAGTGATGACATCAAAACGTGCCACAGAATTCAATGTTCACGAAGTGTTCATACACAACCAAACTCTCGTAGCATTTCCAACCCGGCCATGTTAGCTGCGCAGTTGTGGTGTCAGATATTCTCTCCGGACTGAAATGCTTCAATGGGTTTGCCTGAACAACCGATCTTCACTCTCTCCATTTTACCACTTTACTAATTTGACAAGACCATCAGCAATGCGTAAAAAGAAGGAATCAGTTCTTCGCCCTTAACTTATGATTCCTGTGTCAAAATAGTGTGGCTAACGATTTTTTGCCAAAATTTCTGAGAATTTCTGCTTTGAGCAAATGAACAGAAATTGGGTAACGATTTGAATAGTGCGCACAAGGGACTGTCCTTCCGCCTCCGTTTCTTCAGAAAAAAACATGTGCTTGAGCCGTCAATGAGATCTATGAAGACTATTTCTAAGAATGTAAAACAAATGTTAAGAGAAATGTAAGACGAATCATACCGGCTCTTGTGGTTATTGACATCTTTCGACAAACACGATCGATAAGGCCATCATGTTAGACTCACGGGTTACGCTTTAACAAAGCTGAGCTAACTGGATAGAAAATAGCGCTAAGCAAGGAGTACTTTTAAACTTTACCGAGAAAAAATAGACTGTCTTTAGACACGTTTGTGACAATGAATTAAATAAAAAAACCACATCTGAAAATGGGGAAATTTTGCCTTTTCTTCCAATAAATTCAATCTCAGAAAGATCAGCTAACGTCTTAGCCCACTGGCATCAAACTGCTCATTTATTTCTTTCCTCTTACAGCGGAATTTTTTAAAGCAGGAACACAGCATGATTCGATTTGGTTTGCCATTAACGGTTTGTACTGTCTGTTTCACTATAGACCGAATTGCTTGCGTTTGATCTGGTGTAGGTCGATCAGGATTTCAAAACCATCAGAGCAAAGAGAACAGAGCCGTGACAAAATATCGTTTTCGAAACCTAATGGGACGGAACAATGAACTCTGTTTTTCCTCATACTAGCTACACCGTATCACCGACACCCTTAACGGTGTTCAGAATTAATTTGACCCCCCCCCCAATCCACCAAAGCAAGATTTTGATAACTTCACTAACCGATAAGAGCCATTAATTGACACTCAACACGGATCTAGTGTGAAAATCCGAAGAAGATTAACTTACCGATTGGTTTCCCGTCTGCCTTATAAACTGGACAATTTGGTGACCTGCTCATTTAGCCTGATGAAGCTTTTGTGTCAAAAGCGAAACGTTGCCCAAATAAAAACTACCGATTGTTTATCAAGCACTTCTGAAGCAGATCGTTAATTTATAGACCATCTTATTTGTGCGTTCCTGCTTTGGAGACCGTCTCAGGTCCTCTAAATCGCTCCATTAGGACTCTACAAAGATCTCTGCTTTACCCTCACCAACCTTAACTGTAGGGGAATGAAGGAATTCGGGTCCCAAACGGTGAACCCAGACACAAGACGTCCCAGAATGGCGAATACTGTGCGCCTCATTTGTATGTATGAGAAATTTCAATAATACTCATGCCTAAATGGGGGACGAACACGTTGGCAGCTACGATACTTTAGCCTGGATTACAGAGATGATGTGCCTTGATATGTATAGTACAGGTGAGCAGTGACTGTTCACATATTTTAATGTACTACTGCCCCCTAAATCAGCAAGCTGGTGAAGTGCCCGAAACACTGTATCTAAAAGGCTACACAAAGTTTCGTACACAAAGTTTTGTCCAGCTAATCCAGGTCGCTGATGGAATGGCGATTTTTATACTTCTGCCGTTTAAAAGGAAAGTCAAGAATGAGCTGATAAGCATAAATTTGTGTACAACCATCTTTCTCGGAAACAGTCTAATTTGGCCTCAAGTAGAACATAAGGCTGACGGAAACTCGGGGACTGCGCTTACCTGATGAGCCCCAAGAAACCGAAACCGGTCATGGGCTGTCGTAGAGTTTGCAGCAACCTTGTAAGTAGTAGTTTCCTTTATGAAAATATACTGTGATGTCTCGAATATCGTGCCAACTGAAACAGAGGCGGCCTGTGTGCAGCACATTCAGTTGTAGAATATCATAAACGAGAGATTCAGTTGAGTCTCTCGTGAAAACCAAATTGATTTGCAAATGAGTGTATTTTTCGAAAACCTTCTTTATTATTTTCTTTCTCTGTGGCTGTCAGTCAGGTTATGCCGTGAAAACTCTCGTCAGAAAAATCCTGAAAACGTGGAATCTGTTTCGATAGTCTGAGAAAGAACTGTACTGCACTGAAAGGTTGTTTCATCGAATAAGGTTTTGGAAACGGTACGCATGAGCTAGTTTCCTTCCACCGTTCAGGTTCGTACATGTATCAGTGCAACGAGGAGTTTCACAATGTCCGAGCATGAGATTTAGCTAGTCAGTCTCTGCGGTCACTTGTTTTCAATACAATTCGAATTCAGCCCGCACTTTTCAACTGAATGTTCCGTTATGGTGCGAGACAAGACAATAGTAAAATCCTGGTCTAGAAGAACAAACATAGCAATCGTGTTCACCCGGTTAAAAATACTGACTGACGGGCGATGTGACCGATACGCAAATGTGTGTATTCTTGTGATAATTCAAATGTGTTTGCACCGTTGGCTGGGACACTACGATGAAGCTGCCTGTGGACAATGTCGTGCATGACAACACAACAAAGGCTATACAAATTTTGTGGATACGACAACTCAAAACTGATTTCGGAAAACAGAACAATTATGGTAACGGTTGATAGATATCCGTGACGGTAAACACACCATTATCGCCCATCATACTTGCATATTGTCCTATCCTACTCTTGAGAAACTACTTTAAAAGAATACGTGCTTCGGTTTATACTGTCTTTGCTGCATTGTCTTTCTCTAAAGCAACGTTCGTTCTTACTGTTTACATACGTATTTATCCCACAGAGTTGTTTTTGGCCAATTGGCGTTAACGGGATGCCGGTGTTTCGCAACTATGACTTCTACGAAGTCATTAAGAATTATGAGACGAACAAGAGTTCATGGGGTGATCCAGTTTATAAGACGTACCACTACGATTAGAGGGTTGGAAACCGTTGTAGAATTTTCGAAGAAACTCAGTAACGAGGAAAATCTTAAAGTGGTATATAGCACTTGTCCTAACGGAGGGCGTATTATCGTTCTTTGAATAAACTCTCTTTCAACTTCATCCTTTGTCAGACACTCGCCTTATCCTACCTCGCTGGAACGATCGCTGCCTTCCATAGTACACTGTCCGTGATGATTGCATTCCTTATGACTATCATATTGTGCGTGGCCATCACACTGTTCGCAATGCAAACTCGCTGGGATTTTACCATGTGTTCTGGACTGATTCTGGTTCTCTCCTTGACTTTACTTCTTACCGGAATCGCCTGCCTAATAGTCAATTTCACCCTCGGACGGAACAACGTAAGTTGCACTAGTTCTTGAAACGTAATCTTCCTAAAAAAACATAAAGGGTGACTTATCAATACAATGGTACATTTTTGATATTCTCCATCAGCCTACGATTCCCATGTTTTCTATAGATCTTCCAACTTGGAGGTCGAAATTTCTGCATAGTTTATGTTCTAGCCGAGTGTGAGTGCCTGGAGGCACGATAGTATGCCCGCTTTCAATTCTCCTTGGAGCTCGCCAATAGGTACTTGTCCCGTATTTGAACTTTTGTCGTGACTCAATCCCACGCATCTATGTTGATCGGCGAGATTTTCGCTGCTGTCGGAGTGTCAGGGTTGAATTTTCAGATGAGACTGCTTTAAAGGTTTCCACAATGCATCCATATCTAAGTGATGTAATTATCTTTCTCAAGAAAAAACAAATTTACGACAAACCAACCCCGAATAGAGTGATTTTCGTCAGTCGGTAAAATAGTCCTTTAAGGAGTAAGCTACTTCTGGAAAAACCCAGTCCTTAGAGAAGACAGTAGTTGATCGAACTTTAAAGCAGTCAGTTTGGACGAGGGGGGTATTTAAGAAGGCTCGGCCTCGGGAGAGAAAAACGACACCACACTAGTTGACTTCCAGCAACTCATGTCTTTCTGGAGGGGCAAAAACATAATGACCAGATGCCATCATACAACTAAGGGAGCAGTAGACGCAACACATTACACATAAGATGTTTTATTGAAACGTCATAAGTAAGGGATTCAGCCGGGTTTTAGGTGGGTCTCCTATTAAAACCAAATTGATATGCAAATGAGCGTATTTGTCAAAATCTGTCCAATTTGGGTTCAAGCATAACAGAATTTCGGGGACGGGGCCCAAGATGGGTGAAACAAATCGTGGGCTGTCGAAGAGTTTCGGCAACTTTATGAATAATGTATTACGTTTATACATTTATCGCGATAGCTCGAATATCGTGCCAACTGAAACATGAGATGACCCGGTGCAGCACATTCAGTTGCTTAAAAACATTATGGACGCGAGATTCAGTTGGGTTCCAAGTGAGCCTCCCGTCAAAAACCAAATTGATATGCCAATGAGTGTATTTGTCAGGACTAAGTTAGCTTTTGGATCTTGAGTGATATTCCATGTCATGTGCAGTTCTCGCTGAGTAATGTGAAGTTGATTTATCTACCACAAAACCACAACATTAGCCAAAGTCATCTGACATTAGCCACCCTCTTTAAACGGTGATTGTTCTAGTGCGCTTCTAGTCCTGTAATGCAAAGGTGCTTCTAGGCAAACACGGTACCATATACTGGACCTATTCCAGTTGGCTTGAATCCAATTAGTAAGGACCCTGGTTTCACGAGCGGAATTTTGCAGCTAATTTAGTGCAGTGGAAGAATTATGCACCGCTACCATCAGCAAATCAAATCCTGCATCCTTTAGTTCACTTTTTCCTTTCGTCGTACATTTTATTACGATTCTCCAGAAGTTATTGCCTTTTCTAAGATAAGGAGTTTCATTGAGTGGGCCAAAGCGCTCAAGTTCGTAACCAGGGTACTTGAATTTTGAGACCATATCGCTTCGCACCAAGGCATTTCCGATGACTTGGCATCAGCTGCTTCCATTACTTTATTCTTCGTTTGAAAGAACTCCGGTGATATCTGACTAAAATTAAGGAGAACAGTGTTTACGTCATGCTAGGACGATGTATCCTTCATATTCCATATCCAGTGAAAGGTTCTTTTTAATGGATTATTCTAAATGATGTTTTTTGACGAACTGAGTAAGCTCGCACAAATAGTCAGTTTAAAAATTTGCATGTGCTCTATAGCAGGTACGCGCGGGTCATGACGTGGAGTGAATCTGTGTATATGTGTGATGGTGCCTGTAAAAGTGAAGCCATGCGACATGCTGTATATCAACTGAACCAAAAGTAATCTAAGGGATGCTTTTATTGTATCGTTAACGGCTCCGCTGAGGACCGGCATTTGATGCAACTGTGAAATGCTAGTTTTCATTAACTACTCATGAGTAGCGGAAACGTCATAAGTAAGGGATTCAGCCGGGTTTTAGGTGGGTCTCCTATTAAAACCAAATTGATATGCAAATGAGCGTATTTGTCAAAATCTGTCCAATTTGGGTTCAAGCATAACAGAATTTCGGGGACGGGGCCCAAGATGGGTGAAACAAATCGTGGGCTGTCGAAGAGTTTCGGCAACTTTATGAATAATGTATTACGTTTATACATTTATCGCGATAGCTCGAATATCGTGCCAACTGAAACATGAGATGACCCGGTGCAGCACATTCAGTTGCTTAAAAACATTATGGACGCGAGATTCAGTTGGGTTCCAAGTGAGCCTCCCGTCAAAAACCAAATTGATATGCCAATGAGTGTATTTGTCAGGACTAAGTTAGCTTTTGGATCTTGAGTGATATTCCATGTCATGTGCAGTTCTCGCTGAGTAATGTGAAGTTGATTTATCTACCACAAAACCACAACATTAGCCAAAGTCATCTGACATTAGCCACCCTCTTTAAACGGTGATTGTTCTAGTGCGCTTCTAGTCCTGTAATGCAAAGGTGCTTCTAGGCAAACACGGTACCATATACTGGACCTATTCCAGTTGGCTTGAATCCAATTAGTAAGGACCCTGGTTTCACGAGCGGAATTTTGCAGCTAATTTAGTGCAGTGGAAGAATTATGCACCGCTACCATCAGCAAATCAAATCCTGCATCCTTTAGTTCACTTTTTCCTTTCGTCGTACATTTTATTACGATTCTCCAGAAGTTATTGCCTTTTCTAAGATAAGGAGTTTCATTGAGTGGGCCAAAGCGCTCAAGTTCGTAACCAGGGTACTTGAATTTTGAGACCATATCGCTTCGCACCAAGGCATTTCCGATGACTTGGCATCAGCTGCTTCCATTACTTTATTCTTCGTTTGAAAGAACTCCGGTGATATCTGACTAAAATTAAGGAGAACAGTGTTTACGTCATGCTAGGACGATGTATCCTTCATATTCCATATCCAGTGAAAGGTTCTTTTTAATGGATTATTCTAAATGATGTTTTTTGACGAACTGAGTAAGCTCGCACAAATAGTCAGTTTAAAAATTTGCATGTGCTCTATAGCAGGTACGCGCGGGTCATGACGTGGAGTGAATCTGTGTATATGTGTGATGGTGCCTGTAAAAGTGAAGCCATGCGACATGCTGTATATCAACTGAACCAAAAGTAATCTAAGGGATGCTTTTATTGTATCGTTAACGGCTCCGCTGAGGACCGGCATTTGATGCAACTGTGAAATGCTAGTTTTCATTAACTACTCATGAGTAGCGTAGTTTCGACCAGAAGCGTCGAACTTCATAAATGACGGCTTAGTAAACATAGGCTTTTATCACAAGCTTATCGCTTACCAAAGTAATAGGCATTAAACTTGTCTGTTATGGTTTTTCGTCCTTCCATTCTACTCTCACAGCTGTCATACCCTGTTTGTATTCCATCATATTACAAAGTATTACAAAGTGCAAGCCGGCCATTGGACATTTTGTCCGATTTGTGGTAACCACCCGGTAGTCAGCAGTTGGGTGGGAAGCAGCACTACAGTGAATCGAAATTACACTCGCCACTACCCACACCATCGGGATGCCGGTGCGGTTGAATCTCATGTCACCAGGGCCATATGACCTTCTCTTGGTGCGATATATTGTTCTTGGGTCTGACAGTGTTCTGTAGTCCCTTGGTGTGAATTTATCCATACGTCAGACCACTGCCTTACTGTTATTTACGCATGGGTCTGGTTGACAACTGCCATTCTATCAGAATCCTGGGTTTTTGAATACTGACGCTGCTGATGTAAGCTTAGGTTTTAGGAAGCATCTGCTGGCGTGTACTTTCTCCTACGGTATCCAGCTGCTCATGCTATTTACTCACTTAGGCTGCAAGTTACCATTTTTCTGTTGCAGATTACTTCTTTATGCACGACAGCGGTCAGTGGACCCCGTATGCAGAGCCACCGGTTAATTTGCGCACATGCTGCATCAGAAGAAAATCTTTTTTTTAAGTTGAATTTATCCGTTATTATATTTATATTTACTTTGTTCCAACAGTCTGATAAAGTCAGATCCATTAGCTAGTTAAGAACAACATGAATTTCTGCGTCGCGATTTCTATCACTAAAGAATAAATCCTTTCTTTTCAGGTTCTCTCCGCTGTGTACTCTGGAGTGGCTTTATTACTATTCAGCATTGTGAGTTTTATTTCGCAGTACTGACCAGATTGGCGAAGTTAATTTTATTGCCGTTGTCATTTACTTTTCAAACCGCCAAGAAATAGGATATAGTTGTTGAATATATTAAATGGAACAAAGTGAAGTGAAAAATGTGATCCTAGGCTTCAAACTAACAACAACTAACCGACCATTTTTTGGGATGGTTTGCTTGTGCTCAACACTCTCCAGTAGCTGATGCACCCATCCAACATTTCTGGTTGTGTCAATTTTGTTGAGTCTGTTTGTCAGCGTAAATAAGTAGAGTAATGAAAATTTCCTCGCCATTTGTTTATCCGCGGCCTAGATATCTATCTGTCTGACTTCCAAGCCGAAAAACGAACCACACTTGTTTTCTGGTACTATCAATAATGACAAATATCTATATGGTAAATAATGGGACGGCTAGTTGTGACATTTGGCGGGGCCATCTGTGAGACTGACCATAATTTGTTCTTCCGAGCTGAATACCAAACTGTTTCGATAAAGGCTCACCATATATAGTAAAAATACATTTCCTTTGGCATTTGGATTTGGTTTGCTTTATCCCGATGAACATCAACGCCGCACGGTGATGTGTGTGTGCCTTCCTTATTAATCGGTTTAAATAATCTTGTATGCTTCAGTAGATGGTTGACCCTTCAGCACTACAACAGTTAATAACTTGTCAAAGAAGTTAGTGGAGAACTTAAAAACACCTTGTCGATTAGTGGGGACGATGAACTTTGAATCTGCCAGAGTTCAGGTGCTTGAAAATTTCGTACGGTTTGGTCCATTCCCCAAATGATTTAGTGTCTCTTTTTTTGTAATTTTCCAACAGCTTCTGGTGGTGGACACACAAATGGTTCTGGGAGGCAAAGGACACGAACTCAGTGAAGAGGAGTATATCTTCGGTGCCCTGCAACTCTACGTCGATGTAGTCATTATATTGATTTCGATTATGGGAATATCTGGTGCAGCCAGATAAAATGGAGTTGAACGGCTCGTGTTATCTATGCGGACCTGAAAAATGTTGAATTCTGGCATTCGAAAGATTTAACGTCTAGTTATTGGACATTGCCAGTTTGAGGCATTTTATTACAACTGGTCCAAATCAGAGCGAACATGGATCCATTATGTGTAGTGGTTTTAATCATTCCAACTTCAAAACCAAGAGGATAATTGCTTTCTACACCATTTTTGTGTATTACAGGACATGTGTTTCAAGAGTAAAGCTGTACGAATAAACTGCGTTGGTGCTTCTCGCCACCATCATCGCAATCAACATTACGACTCATCGTCATCATCAGCATCGTCACTCTCATTGTCATAACCGTTTTACTGTTATTATTGGGCATAATTATTTTTACTCACGTCAATATCATAGCCAGGATGAGCAACAATTGTGTGTACTTTACGAGATATCGTAGCGTCAAATGTAACAAGGTTGATGAAAGATTTTGTTCATGACTTCAATAATGACCGGGGACTAGCAGAATAGCGATAGGTTTTGTCAAATTAGAAAACTGATCTTTTTGAGTTCATATCTTGGTATTGCTTCATGCTTTGTGAAAAATTCAAACCAGGCTGGAATTTTTTGACAAATTACAACAGCTAGTCTTGTGGCACCGGATGTCTGGAAGACCGTACATGGTATTTCATCGAGGGAGAGGAATTCTTAAATCAGGAGCCTAATTGCGTTGACTACCGTGGTGAGCAACTGTTTATGGCGACGTTATCACATTCGCTTTCGAACTAGGCCTGGAGCCAAGTCCTCGCTTTATCGAGAAGTAATAAAGCTTAGGCCAATTTACGCTCCGTAAACCTATAATCGCCAGCTAATTCGTAATGAATCCTATACACTAAATGTTCTATATACAACGAAGCAAAAGTCATATTTTAAGTTGGTCTTTTAATGGTAATGCATCAAAATATTGGTAGCGTGGGTGAGTTTACTGGTTGTTGATCAGACGGCTGTTCATCCGTTCGCCGAGCTTGGCAAATGAGATGCAAACGTTTCGCCACCACACGAGGAGACATCATCAGTGCGCATTTGGGTGGGTATCTTCTGTTTGCCTGCGTGCACTCATAACATTTGAAGGCTATCTGTTATCTCTTAACGTGATTGACTAACTGGGTGACAGCGCTTTTCGTGAATCATTTGGTCCATTCAAGATCTATTTTGCGTTGTGGTTTGCTTTCCTTCGAGTGGATTAGTCATCCCGATTCATCCTATTTTTTTAGTAGCTTCCTTCCCTGTTTTGTTTGGCGCCCCTTTCGAATCACATTGTGTTGTGATCTGCTTTTCTCGAGAATGACTGGCTGGCTGCACCGATGGTTGTGCAGCGCACTGGTGATGTCTCCTCGTATGGTGACGAAGCGTTTGCAGCTCAGTTGCCAAGCTCGTCGAACAGACCAGCAGCCACCTGAGCAACAACCTATAGGATCGTTTAATGTATGACCTGATAAACCCAACATTATCTCCTGTTCAAACTATGTGACTGTGACTTCACTATTAGCGGCTGCATGAACAGCATCGACGATTCGGTAACCAAGCTCAACCAAAGGAAACTCCTCAGTATTATTTGGGTTTATTAACAAAGCTACTGTATAGAGCCAGTTGAACTGACTTCGGTTTTTCTGTCTTGAACTATGGAGCCTACCGTCAACTATAAGTGTTATGTCTGGAGGGTTCAGTTATCGACAAAATCGTACCGCATAAATCAGTATATGTTCTCCGTCAGAAATTCGCAAGGCGTAGATTCAGCTTAGCACCAAAGAAATGAATTATAATTAAGTGTCATGTTGTACAAACGAACAAACATTCATAAGGGCAATCTAATCACACTTCTTCTTTTTGTAGCTGTAGGTATAGGGCTCAGTTACCAGCTGAAATGTCAAGGTTTGGAAACTTCAGAGAGGTTCATGAGGTTTTCACTGTTGCTGCTGCTGAAACGGCTGCATAGTAAGTCACGGGTACTGTCATACATTGGCTTTATTTAAGAATAAGATTCCAACTGTAACACATAGGACTCGATACCAGAAATTCAAATATCCTTCAAATATCTGAAGTTTATCAGTTCACTAGTGGAATGGGTACTCAAATAAAGCTTTGTGTTTCTGGCTAACTATGATTTTACTTCGGCAGCTGACACGTCCTAGTTATTGTGAGGGCACCATTGATCCACGAACACGTGCTTCACTGAATTCTTGTCACAAGTAAATTATCCACTTGACGATTCATCCCTTCTTTTGAGGAGACAGAAAATGGTAGGCAGAAGAGTTGTTTTCATGTTAGTCTTTCTGATGTCTTAAATTAGCGAATTAACATAGGTCAGTAAAACTAAACGAAGTAGACAGGGGTATTGATCTGTTGGTTGGTTGACTGTAAATACCTATTTTCACATCATTTTAGTTACAGTCACCTGAAACTATATCAGCTTCAGACTTGTTCTGTTCGTACTTCGCACAGCAAAACCAAATATAAATTAGCAGTGTGAATCAACTGACCGAGAATCGAACACTGAAGGGAACCTTTTGTGTGCATTCCTATGGCGCTCATCTGAGTATCCGTGTTTTGGAACATTGTTTTAACGAACACAATTAAGTGAACTTAGTTCTGGATTTCTGTGAGAGAATAAATGTTTCGGAACTAGACGTCCTTGAAGCAGTACCTGAAGAAATGGTGCGACAGCCAGACAGATTTCTTAGTTAGTCATGATTATTTCCGAGGAGAATCCTTCTCAATAAAAAAGCACTGCTGTGACCGCATGAACAATGGTGAATCAGGGAGATACGTAGGTGATCTCCCCAGCAATAACTTGTGAGATATTGTTTACTGGTATAATTGTTAGCGCAATGTTATCAACCGATATGACAAAACTTTTTATCACCCTTCATAGTCATGTACCAGTCATCCGAATTCCAAAAAATCAAGTAACTGAGAGATTCTCACGGTGATACAACACATCGACTGTTAGCACAAAACGTCTCACGTGAGTGTCACAGCTGGAAATCGATTTTCTTTTTTGAACGGGTATGTGATGTATGGACAGCAAGCGCATGGGTTCACCTTGGCGAATGCTCATTTGGAATAATGCACCCTGGCCAACAATTTTACCAAGGTACGACATAAGAAGTATTCAGGTTTGAATGTTACACTCTTGTTCAGTCTCGCCTGATTTATGAAACTAATGTTCTTAGGAACTTCCCATAGCCTCAAATATTTTACGCATATGGGAGTGAAATAATGATAGGTTTGGATGCATTTTAAGAGCCGCATATTTTGTGGCCTTCTCTACTGGTGATTTTTGTACCCCCTGTCATTGGATGGTGGCCTTGTGTCCCTTCAGCATTTACTCCAATTATGACCCAATGGGTGAAATATATGTAGGATTCTGATCGGATATCATTCGTAAGTTCCTCGTCATCTGCTTGTGGACGACTACCTTCATTTACAAGCAAAAAACATCCTCCATATTAAACTTTGTGACCTATAAAACCAGTATAAATTATATAGAAAAAAGGGAGTTCCCCATCATTCCTGGCTCAGAATTCACCGGTGTCAACCCACGATCTGTACACACAAGCCACCTAGACTAAGACTCTGTACAATTGCTCAGAACAAGACCTCTTTCGTACAGGATCCCGTTGCACAGGATTGATGAATTTTTGTTCAAAACTCAATATCAATGTTACGGACGGGATCGGCTCAAACAGAGTAGAGGGCGCTCTAAAACTGTAAAGGCGAGTTTCAAATATATATTATATCATTCAGGGATTGTGTAGTCTGAAACACTTTCAAACTTACAGCAGAAAATGACACGAGCCGAATCCACTAGTCAGCCGCAGTATCCTCGCAGGGAATTTAGAGTAAATGGACCACAATACACCGATTTCGGCCACAAATGTTTACGTCGTACGTTCTCACTGGAGTCTCTCAGTGTAATCTGATTAAAAGTCTTGCAGTCACTATGAGCCCATATGACGAAGTATGCGGTTTTCGCGTCACTTGGGGCGAAGTTTGCCCGCAACGTTTGTACGACGTGCCCAAGCACCCATACGCATCATGATTAACACGGAACAGTTCGACCGATTCGCATTGACTTCAAGCCCCTGATGACCGATATTGCTCAGTGGGCGTGAAATTTTACAAGGTACTGACTGAGGCAACAGTAGTCGGTATGCATCTACGATTACGGAGGCAATCGTGTGCAGGCCAACCGGAATCTAATAAACAGTGATCGTAGACACCACAGTTCATCGGAGAAACACTCACCGGTTTGCCTACGGGCCACTAGACTGATGTCAGCGGGCATTTTCATTTGAACTGCAAAATACGTTCCGATTTAGAGCAACTTTATCATATCGGGTGCTTAGATGATCTTTTCTTGGCGGGCTAGTCTTAGTGTCCATCAAATTTTCCACTGGTCCTCCTGAAAATGTTCACTCTATGGGACTTCCGTAGAGAGACAAATTAGGAACGAATTTATTCAGGTGCAAACTGATAAGTGGTCAACTGTTCGCGTTTGAGGATGGAATAATTAATAGGGTAGAAAAGTTCGAGTCCCGTTGGATATAAACGCTCCATGGTTGAAGTCTGTGATAAAATTTTAGAGAAGTATGCGCCACATCGTTCCCTTGCACTTGCTTAGCAGATATTACCTTTGAAAAATTACGCATAAGTCATCATACCCGTATATCATGTCCGACAAGCCTGACAAATGCAAATCAAGTTTCGAAAGGTAATCGAGAACAAATAAAAGCGCATTGGAAATACACTTTTTAGGGAGAAGGATTATCAACTGATGGAAGGTTGGCTCGATAGTAGACATAACATCGTTGAGTACTTTTTTCGGTAGCTCGCTTTTTCCTACACAGCTTGGACGCAGAAAGCTGCTGTTTATAAAATGCTTTATCTTTTATCACATAGGATTGAGATATACCGGTGTTTTAGCAGTATACCCCTATATTGGTTTCGTCGGAGGCTGTCAATAGGACCGAAAGCATTACGTTTGTTCTGGCTAGCCCGATTCAGATGAAAACCAAGAACCAAAACAGTGGCTTGGCAGAAGTATACCCCGACGTTACTAAAGGATAGCGGATTTGGGAAAATTGAGAGCCATGAAGTTATTGTGTCAATTCA